AAATAAACAGTATGGATTTATGAAATCCATGAAGCATTATTGTATGTAGGCATAGTTGGGAAAGTCTGTGCTCTGGGAGAAGAATGCCCTTGGAGCTGTTGAAAGGCAGAACATACAGGGTGCTTCTCTAGATGAGAACCTGCCTAACTTGGTGGCTGAAATCCACCAGGTCTATTCTGAGGGACTATGACTTTTGAGTAATGAAAAACACTGCAAACAAGCCCGCTAATACAAGTAAATTTCCTTGAATGGTAAGCTGGAGAGTAACAGGCTTTTCTTGTAAGCGGTGTTTCAAAAAATTTTTTGATACAGTTTTTATTATTTGAGAATATTTATACACTTATTTTTCAACTCTATAATTAACATTGTAAGATTCTATTTTTGTGTATACTTAAAAGATCTTAAAGTACTAAATAAACATGATTTTCTTTATTTCTAATGTGAGATCTTTGATGAATTCAAAAGATACTTCCAGGTAAAGGCTTTGGAATAGGTATAATATAATGGTTAAATCTGTGGATTTTGAGTGTTATTCTTATTTGGAAGCTAGTGTGACCTTGATGTAACTTTGGATAAGCTACCTCATCTCCAAGCCTCAGAAATAATATAGTACCAGTACCTTAGTTTTATTATTAAGTATTAATTGTTCGTGTATTTTGGGTTTGAAGAACCTCTTTATCTTATCTCTAAATGATAAAGATCTGATATCTGGTTCTAATAAAGTTGAACAGCATATAAATTGCTTCACCTGAAAATGTTAAAGCTCTGTTACTCTTATGTAGTGTTAAACGTGGCCTGTTTCTATTACTGCAATGTGCATAAATTTAAATATATATTAATACACATCCATAATTGCAAACACCCCAAAATTCAAAATGGTATGTTTACCCTGCCTTTAGACACCCCATCCCAATAGTATACAGATGAGATTATAGGAATGTTGCTCCCCAGCCCTGCTGGGGGAGTTATATAATCTCTGTTATATTGTCTTTCTGCAAGTCTGAAAAAAAATAATTCTTAAGAAGCTACTCAGATACCTCAGGTTTTAGGTATTAACAAGAGTTTGTTATGTTTTGAATTGTTATGTTTTAAAAGTCAAGGTGTGCCAGGCATGGTGGTGCATGCCTGTAATACCAGAGACTCGGAGGCTGAGGAGTATCACAAGTTCAAGGCCATCCTCAATAGCTTAGTAAGGCCCTAAGCAAATAAGTGAAACTCTGTCTCCAAAAATAAATAAGTAAAGGTGTTATCATGATGCTTTCCCATGCCCTTCATCAAACCTGTGACCCAGCAACTTCATTACTAGGTATTTATCCTTTGTAAATGAATAGATTACTCCCTTCCCGGAAAATCTTGTACAAAAATTACCATACTGGCTTCAATTCACAGTATACAAAAACTGGAAATACACAGATGTCTAGAGCAGAAGACAGGATAAACAGAGTACTGCCTAGCCCTGGAAACAAATGAACTGTGGGTGCTGCAGCAGTAGGGTGAGTGTCTTTCGACACTGTGTGGGAAAGAAATGGGACAGAAAATCGCATGTAATTTCATTCTCTGAAATTCTAGAATAGGCAAACTGAATTGTGGTGTGAGAGAAGCAGGTGGGTAATAGGTACTTAAGGCACAAAGGATTTGATTGGTAGAAATGTCCCATCTCTTGATGTACATTCATCAAAAATGATCCAGTGTTATACTTAAGACCTCAGGATTTCACTGCACATATAAATTATATCTAAAGTTTTAAGTGATTTCAAAATATGGGACAAAGTTATGTGAGTGCAGGTAATCACTTGAATTCAGCATTGAAAAATATGATTTTATGACCTTATCTTAGTTGTATAAGAGTGGCTTCATTTGTTACAAATGAAAAAGTCAGTGTTGCATTTTTAGATATGCTGATCCCTGACAGGATTCTATAAAATCCATTGCAGAATGTCCAGAAGTAAAATACACAGCCTCAGGATGTCTCATCTGATCAGTTGTTTTCTTGGAGAGAAGTCTAACATCTGGCTGATAGAAGCTCTGGAGCTTCTGCCTGTAGTCAAGCTTAGTAGCAAGTTTTCTTATCTGAACTTGAACTTGAAAGAGGTAGCACACACATCCAGTTGTGTTCAGGTAGTTACAGATGCCTACTTTCTGTCAAAAGCAAGACAGAAAAGTTGAAATCATCAATTCTTTGTGAACTTAATTCTATAATGAACTTGATTATCTTCTGAGGCACACAGAATCTCATGCTCTTTGAATACCAGTGGTGGTGGTAGCCTGAGTGGTGGGTGTGGTAAAGAGCAAGGGTGAAGCCCATCCTAGAGTGACAGCATCTGGGTTCAAATTCCAGCTCTGCCAGCTAAACCCATTGCTTTTCTGGAAGGCATTAGTGTAGCCTGCCGCCGTAGCCCTGGCCCAGCATAACATAAATCGCTGCCAGCCAGGGACAACATTATGGCAGAAGACACCGGACACCTCTTAGTGAAGGCTTGGCTACTCTGATTTTTATTCTCCTCTTGAAGTGATCTCTGTTCTATGTGAGTGTCCTGCACACTGCAGAAGGCAGGCACAAATGCATCCGCTGGCGGTGCACGAATGTGCATTTCTTCCATCAGCATTCTCTTTGGCTTTCTGCTGTGTTTGACCCCGAATTACCACCTCATGAGTAGTTACTTTTGTCATTCAAAAGAAGCAGTTCCATTTAAACATGTTTTCAATTTCCTGTTCTTTCCAAAGATGACTCTTTTGTATCTTTCTTTCCGTTGTTGATGGAGGTAAATTTGCCCTCTTTTTGCTTACACTTTCAAACTTGGGCCTCTTCTTTCTCACACTGGGTGGGAGGTATAACTACTGCTGCCTTGGGGGGAAAAATGTATGTAGAGTATAATACTTAATGCTTGTATTCTTTAATTATGGCATACAGATTTATTTGAACCAACTTGATAAACTTTAAAGATTAATAGTTTTTCATGAACAAGTTTAAGATGTTTTATAATGAATTGCAAATTCTTCCCTTTTATTTTTAACCAGTAATTTCTGTGTCTTTCAAAGAAATCCTATTCACTTTTTGTTTTCATTCATCTTTATGCATATTGATGGGGTCAAAGAATAGTGATCCCACATGTGCAAGTGTCATCTTGCAAAGTACTCTACTGGAAGCAGACTTGTAAATTAGGAATGGCCTTGATATTTTCATCATCTTTTTTCTTTAATTCTCTGTGGTTTGTTAAAAGCCCATTCAGCAGTTATGTTTGCTACAAATTATAGCATATGTATATTCACTAATGCCCAAGATCTTTGTATCATTATCTGTGTAACAGAAAAGGAGGAGGCCAAAAAGCTTTCACTTGTCCTCATTCTGCCCCTTTTTTCAATCTGAGAGAAACAAGCTTATTCTGAAAAATATGTCATCAGGTCATTTTTTTTTATATTAAATCCTGAGAATGTGGTGGGGGGAAGGCACTTAGTTTTATCCTTATCACCATCTTTAGGGACAGACTTTAGAGATGGATCTTCATCTACTGCTTCCTTTTGCTGTGGCTAAACTTTATCCTCTTGGACTTTGACATTTGGGATTTGGAATTAAAGATTTCTCACATCTGTCATTTAAGACAGTGACCATGGGTTTAGCTAGTTATAAATAAGAAATAGGCTCTGTTTTAGGGGAATGTACTTTAGAGGTGGTGATGTTCAGCAGACTGATTCAGGACAGAAACAGTATAGTCTAGGGATGGCCCCATGAGAAAATAGCATTGATTGGATTTTGTTGGGTGGGTAGGATTTGGAAACGGGGGAGTAGAATGACATGAAAAGAAGCATTGGCAGTAAAAGAATTTGCACAAATGAGTGACAAGAGGGAGTGATCTGGTTTGACTTTTAATATTGGGCAAGTATGTGAAATTATAGATAGAAAATTAATAGGTTTAACTTTAGGTGGTAGTTTGGGGCCAGATCATAGGTAACTCAAACCTTATATTTTTAGATAATAAGAAACTGAAAGGGTTTGAGACATGAGATTGTTGAGAAACATTGACAATTGTGTTTGGGGCTATTTTTCTGACCCCTGAGTATAATTTGGGTATATAGATTTAGTAACTGTCACCATTAATAGATTATTCAAACTTGGGCCTCTTTCTCACACTGGAAAAAGAAAAAAGATGATGAAAATATCAAGGCCACTCCTAATTTACAAATAAGTACTGTATTAATAATGACTTGAACAAGGTCAACAATAGTTAATGGAAGCTGGGCATGGTGGCGCACAATGCTTGTAATCCCAGTGGCTTGGGGGGCTGAGGCAGGAGGATCACCAGTTCGAAGCCAGCCTCAGTAACAGCGAGGCACTAAGCAACTGAATGAGACCATATCTCTAAATAAAATACAAAATAGGGCTAGGGAAGTGGCTCAGTGGTCGAGTGCCCCTGAGTTCAATCCCCAGTACCCCCCCACCCCCAGAAAAAGTTAATGGAAGGGTAGAAAGAAGCCAAGGTAAAATAAAGTGGCCAAATGTTTTGATGATCAGAGATGATCTGATTTTATGTTTGTCTTTGGGGAATAGTTTTTATTAGTGCCCTTTTTAGCTTTGGAAATGTTTCCTGGTTGGGAAAGTAAGTCATGTGGCAACCCTAAAGAGAGTGTTTTCTTTTGCAGTGCTGGGGATCTGTATTTCTTTTAATGAACATATCTGAGTTTTGGAATATTCATTGAAGTAATACATTCTAAAGAAAACATACTATATTTGATTTTTGCCTCACATTTTTATTTATTTCCATTTCAAGGCAGCCACTGGCCATTGAGAATGTCTTATGTAGCCACATGCCATCCCTGAGGAAATAGGCTTTAGAATGTCAGAACCTTAGGATTCCCAGGTCCCAGGTTTTTGTTTGTTTCCTCCTGATTGAAGTAGGTCACTATAGTTATATGGTATCTGATTTAAGGCTTGTGTGTAAATCTAGCTATGTTGTTTGTGGAAAGTCTAAATGCTTACTGCTCTTGTGTTCTTCCACACACAGGCAGAAGGAGAAGACAGCCTGAAGAAGATGCAGCTGATGGAGCTTGCGATTCTGAATGGCACCTACAGAGATGCCAACATTAAATCACGTAAGGATGAGACTGAGACCTATGGTTGTAGCTGTCTCTGTTGTTTTGTCTACAGACTTCTTTTCACAGCATAACACATGAGCAATTAAACTGAAGAATTGAAGTAATTGTGTCATTGAACAGGGGAGCAGCAGTCCTATTTTTAATGCTTTCATGAATTACTATCCTCTCTTGATTTTATTGTATGCTAGCATATCGAAGCTTTAGGTTTGTAAATACTTCTTTATTTTTCTGATGACATTTTGATATCTAAATTCAAGAAATTTCCTGTTCTGTACAGCTTCAAGGCCTCCAGTTTATTTTGTTGTATTTATGCACAATACAAGACTTTGAAAGCTTTTTTAGAAGTTAAAGTGTTACTGGATGAATGACCCTTCTGTTGAGTACTTTCCTGTCCCTTTGCTTGCATGTTCCCCCTCCTCCGGTGTTTTCCCTGTTGAGTTCACACGTGAGTTCACAGAGATCAGTGGGTGGTGATAACTATTTCCAGTCTTCTATTTTTCTTCTTAGAAATCTGTGCATGATTTTAAAAGCTATGAGGATTTCTTTTTTAAATTTAAAATGAAATTTATATTTTGAGATAATCTAATGGTCACACATCATATAAGCATAATATTATTTTTCATTTACTAATGATTTTAAGAAATAAATTTTAAAGTCCTTGCCAACTTTCTAACATCTAGGCGACTCATTGAGTTTAGAAGTGTAATTATTTTACAAGTGGTAATTTGTAATTGACTTTAATTTATGCATGAGAATGTGAGCATATCATTAATGTCATGAAGTTAGGATCTTTTTATATTGTTTCTTTTTTCTAAGAAGTTTACTATCAATGCTTCAGGATATACCTATAGTGGTTACTGGTCTGACTTAATACAATGAAAATTATTCTTTCTTTTAATTTGAAACTGAAGTTACACTTACAAAATATACCAAAACTGTTTCTGTGGACTCCAAATTATAAATTTTTTTGTAACATCTTTTAATTCAGATGTTTTCTTGTGCTTCTGCATGCACCTTTAGTTTCAAGAAATCTTAAAAAGCAGATATATCAAATATATAAACTAAATATAACATTTTATTTCATTCATTTTTTTACAGTGGCTTTTAATTTTTGCACATTTGTTCTTAATCACATTGGGAAAGGGAAAGCTGATTGCGTTTGATTGGTGTGCTTTGGCATTTTGTGTGATCAGTGCATGTACTAATGATTTCCTTTTATTTTTCTTCTTTCCTGCTTTTTTCTTTCTTTTTCCTACTCCTCTCTCATTTTCCCATATTTTATACTGCTGTCCCTGTACTTCTTCCTGAATTTCTTTGCTTACTGTAGCAGCCCTTGCCTTTTCTCTTGCAGCAACAGCCCAGGCTGCTCCAAGGATCATAACTGGGCCTGCGCCTGTCCTCCCACCAGCTGCCCTGCGTACTCCTACGCCAGCTGGCCCTACCATAATGCCTTTGATCAGACAAATACAGACCGCTGTCATGCCAAACGGAACTCCTCACCCAACTGCTGCAATAGTCCCTCCAGGGCCTGAGGCTGGGTTGATCTACACACCCTATGAATACCCTTACACGTTGGCACCAGCTACATCAATCCTTGAGTACCCTATTGAACCCAGTGGTGTTTTAGGTAAGTTCTTCTCCCTGGTGGTCAGTGATATTCTTCATACATTTTGTTACCCAGACTTAGAAATGATTTTAACAGTTTTAGAGAAGCGTTTCTGCCCCTTTTAAGGGTTCCCCTGTTAAATAACTGCACCCAAGTTTGTTCAGATTCACTTGATAACTCATTCGTTTGTTTGGATAAATTTGCAATGTACATCTTAAACAAAAAATAACTTTCACATCTGACAATACTAGAATTGTTCTTGAGTTTTATTTAGGTTTCACCCAATTGTCCTAATGCCTTTATCAGCTCTTCCTTCTGGAGTTAGATTTCTTTTGACTCATGGGTTTCTTTAATGGCTAGTTAACTTCTAAACTTACCCATGAAAGTATTTTAAGATTTTTATGAAATTTATATTATTGGGTGCTAAGTATTTATGATCACTTTAAATGAGACCATATTATTGGTTGCAATCTTAACTGAACTTTGAATTTTTTGTCTTTTGAAGTCCTAAGATGAAACATGAGACAGTTTTCAGTACAGTTTGGAATAATGAGTAATATGCAGTTACTGAATTCAGATTCACACTGGAGGCAAAAATTAAGGTCATACTGTAAACGCTTGGTTTTTACATGAACATGAACAAAAAGTGGTGTGCTCGAAAAAGACATTACTGATGCCTTTTTTTTATAGAGTGGATTGAAATGCCAGTCATGCCTGATATTTCAGCCCATTGACTTGCTGGATGAAGGACTAGAACACAGCAGCTGTTCTAGCACGACCAGTCAGTGTGGGACAGCTGTTTCCACGCAGCCCTTTTGTTTCACCAGACAGAATCTGAACACTTTCTTTCCTGAATTGTATATGACTTGGTGCTGCATGCATGCTGTTGACTTTTAGGACTTTGTTCTTTTAAAGTTTATTTTCCCCAAGCATTAATATTGATTTATAAAAATTTGAAAATCTTTAATGAACCCGGATATTAAGATTTAAGCTCGAAAATTCATTGTTCAATTAAAGAAAGTCACAATGCTCTGTATGTTATCTGTGTGTGTGCATGCACTCAGGTGCCTTTTGTTTTATGAACAAATACATTTTATTGTACATGTTTTCTGTCTAAATCATTGTATAAAGTAATTACAGGTCAGAAGTATACCACAGAATATTGATGAGAGGCTTGTTTCTGTTGCACATTTCTTGAACATTTTTGAAATAACATGTAACCTGTAACCTTATTTAAGTTTTCCTTTCTATTAATACTTTCTCCTGTGGCCCCATGCATGCTCCTTCCCCCTAGAAATCCTCTCTGCTGCACCCACAGCATCTGTTCCCGAGGAGTTAGGACCCTTAATTTTCTGTAGGGCTGAGGCTCTTAGCCACCAGCTACTGTTCCAGGACTTTAGAGTCCAAGATCTCCCTACTTTTGCCATGTAGTATTACACTTGTATACAATTAGTTTATCCAAGATGAAAAAGGGGGTGATGGACCAGTTTACTGCTTAGAAACAGCAAGAGGCACTGCTGTAAACTTTGTTTCTTATTATAAACTAACATGCTTTTGTTTCCATTGGGAAATTTTTCATTGTTAAGACCCACTTATTAGACTGGCAAAATTAAGATCAAAAACGGAGATACTTATTTGGTATTCATAAGGTGATTAATAACATGCACCAAATTGGGAGGGGGCTATCATAATCAGTGTTATTTATTGCTTTGCTACCTAAGCAGTAAAACATGATATTGACCCCTAGGAGAATAGAGGGGATTATTATAAATTACCAAGTTACAATAAATTTGCACACAGATAACATGCATGCTATATAGCAAATCTCACATTAAATGATTTTAAAATAAGCAGTGCCTTTCAAAACAGATGCAGACATGTGTGTTGGTGGTAGTGAGGAGATTGGTATTAGCATCAAATCTTCATTGATGACTAATTTTTAATTCCCTTCCTTTTATCTTTAGGTATGGCTTTCCCAGCGAAAGGCTAAGAATTCAAGATCGGTCTTAACTGAACCCTCATCAGATCTGAATTTAACAAATGCTTAGTCTCAGCAGCCTCCGGGGAAAAAGCTTAGCCTAGCAGTCAGTGGCTTACTTGCACTTTTTGCACATAGATATAAAGTAAAACCATGTTATTAATTTGGTTTAGTCTGTAATATGACAAAGTAATGGTAATTTATAAAGGAGTGTATAGTAGTGTACTGACTGCTAAGTGTACTATACTGTTTGCTTTACTAATCACCTAATTCATTGCAGTTCATACTTATTGACTCAAAGTTTTAAACCACAATCTGTAGGCTTTAAGAATTGCTTTTAAACCTTTTTAAATAATAAACTCTGGAAGTGGTCTTAAGGTTAGCAAATAATTGTCAGTATTAAACATGGCATTATTTAAGTAGTCCTGCTGCAAGAAAGGCACTTCAGTGAATATGTGACTAGTAAAGCTCAAATATGTTTGGATCTAATAGAGTTCACGAAATACTGTAACTTGGGGATTGTAAATGAATGGATAAAATAGGTTAAGGCCAACATGTTTGAAATGAATGCAATATTAATAGATGCATATATATGTGACATATAATGGTTAATTTTAAAACTACTGTGCCTTAACGTGTTTCTTAAAACAAACTTTTGTAGTAAATGAACATTTGAAAGAAATCCATTTTGATAAACCTGCTGTTAATGTTTTTTTCCCCTTCTGTATGTTTTCTAACTTTGTCTTGGTAATTGCAATTTAACTAGGTGCGGTGGCTACTAAAGTTCGAAGGCACGATATGCGTGTCCATCCTTACCAAAGGATTGTGACCGCAGACCGAGGTTAGTTTAGTTCTGCAGTTCTTGTTTATAAGAAATGCGTTGGATGTCCATAAAATTTGCAACACCACACCTGATAGAAAAATGTAACTGCTTACCTGTACACTGTTTCTTTTCCTTTTCTAAATTCATTTATAATAATTGACAAATTTAAGGGTTGGGTTTTTTGTTTTCTTTTTCTGTTTTTTCTTTTTTTTTTTCTCCCTTTGTATTTTAACTTATTAAATCTTCTATTCCTATTACTATGATTTATTTCTACTAAAACATAAATTAGTCAATTTGGGGAACTATTAAATTTTTATTTTGCCTTAACTATTTTTCATTAATAACTTTTGCTAAAATTTACCTTTTAATCATTCTGAAATTTTGGGTTGGTATTGCAAAATGAATTGAATGGATGGTGCTTTAATGAGAGAAGTAAAGGAATATATGCCTCCTGTGTACTTTTGGAGAAAACTGAAGATTTAGTTTCCATTTATCTTTGTAATAAAACACTTGAGCCACTGTATAAACATGAGGGTATACATGTCAAGTACTTAGCTGAAATCAACAAAGTCAGGACTGTGAAGATAACTTTCATGTAGTTGGATTTTTTTTTTAATAAATTAGAAAATCAGCTCCCTCTTATTCTTACATTTTCTTGCCAAAATGGATCCTTTGATTTTTGTCATTTGCTGCTAAAATATTATTTGAAGGTAGATGATGTCCTCAAGTTCTGTGGTGTGTGAGATCCAGCTTTTGGATATCCTTTTGGACTGACCTGTGACTGGAAAATAAGTCTTCATTTTTCTCCTTTGAACATTTGTAATTTGTGTCCTATATTTGCCCTTGGACCCTTTTATAAATTATTTATGCTTATGGAGAAGTGATATTTTCGGTTTATTGACATTGAATGGTTTTTGTTTTTTCATCAAAAGATAGGGAAACCCAAGCATGGTTGAAAAGCAACTTCAGAACTCTTCTGTTAGAATACATTTATTACTAATTAAATGGGTTAAAGACTCTTAATATTATTAGGAGAAAGTGATGAATTTATACTCCATTTGTACATCCTCTATCAATTTGATCAGACAAATATAGACCCCTGTCATACCAAACAGAACTCCTCACCCAACTGCTGCAATAGTATCTCCAGGGCCCAAGGCTGGGTTGATCTACCTAGTGCTTCATGGTTACCTGGAGTACTAATGATAAATACTGGACACAGTTGTTGTCCACATTAGAAATAAAAGATTTTTCCAGTGACCTTGATGACATCTAGCATCACAATAATGAGAGACCCTTATAAACTTTTAATGAATATAATTTGTAGTGATTTTTCAATGAACTCTGAGTAGTAGACTCCAAGTTCAGTGATGATCTATGAAAATAGTGCTCCTTTTTAAAGAAGTATTTTCATTTAAGATTTTTCTATCCCTGTATGCCCTTCTTTCAGAGACTTGTCTTAATTTTAACACAGTAATTATTGGTTTATTTATTACTCCAATGCCTTCAGATAGTTGAAAATATTCGAGGGAAGATTTTATTAAGTATTTGGAAAACAACAACACATTCCATGCATGGCTCTTTTGTAGTGATGTGTATTTTGATTAATTTTGCTACTTTCAAAATGCAATGTCAGCAAACCGAAATGCTTTTTTTTTTTTTTTTTTTTAAATAGTAACAATATTCATTCATTCTTACTATCACTATGTGCACTCTTTGGGTCTAAGGGAGATGTCTGAAGCCTTCACTTAAATTATTTTATTATACTACTGTTTTCTCTATTTTTGAGGTTTTTTTATTTTTAAAAGTATTTTGAAGAGAACTTATTATAAGCATTTTGGATGAAAGAAAACTCAGCCCTTGAACATATAACCATGTAATTCTATATGATCATTTAGAATACTATGTGATAGACAAATATCTAGTTCTTTACTAAAAATAAACCCACCTCTATAAATATTTCAAAACTAAATTTAAAGCCTTTAAGACCAAGTGACTTTTTAGTTGTAATGAACTATATAAATGGTTTTGCACAGTTGACATACCTGTGTGTACTGTATGAGACCAGGACTTGGCAGAGGATATATTTTAGGTGTACTGGTATATATAAATGGTAGTTTGCTTTGTTTTTCTACTCCACAGCCCCCACAATCAGAAATTTTTCTGAATAATGATTTTACAAAAACCATTACTTACATAATTTGGATAAGCTTAAACCATTTTAATCAGAATTTTAAGTAATATTTAAAATGCTTTAAAATTCATATTTTGGAATACCTGCGAAGAAGTAGTGTGACTGCATCATATTAAATATTTATTTTCTCCTTTGATTTTTGGAAGACAAGTTCTGAAAATATTAAATAAAATTCTACTTTTTAAGACATTCAGGGAAGATTTGGTCACAATGATGATACCATATTTTTGTAGTATTTATAAACTATCCTAAATGATAGACTATAGTAGAAACATTTTTCTCATATGAAGGTAAATCAGTCCATCATAGAGATCATTTAAACTCTGTGAACTTTATGCCTGCTGGGTTTCAATTTATGAAGTGGCACAGAATCTTAACTTTGCACTGATTATCTTTTCATTCATATCTCCTCTGCCTTAGTCACAATGGCAACAGTACAGAAAATTCTATCAAACCTCAGAATATAGTAGAAATAATTAAGCTGTTGAATATGAGTCTTAAAAATCATACTACTGTTAAGTGGACCAAGTTTGGTGAAGCAGAATGTGACAGAGGTTGGTTAAGGAAGGAACAACTCAAGGACATTGGGAATGATAACTTTTCCACTTGAGAACTACTTTGTTTTACTGTAATTTAAAAAAAAAAAAACAAAAAAAAAACAAAAACTTTTTTTTGTTCTTTTTGTTATTTTGCAAAAGAAAATAGTATTTACAGGTGGCTTCTTTTAAAATATAAAAATATAAAGCAGGAATGTATATGAAATGTCAGATTTTATTGTATTTGCAGAGTATTAGCTTTGAAATTGAATAAAGAAAGCTGTTTGTAGACTTAAAATGCCTTATTGGTATCAATTAGAAATTTCTTCTATTTTTTGATGTACGTAGAGCTCTTTGAGGTATAGAATTTTAAATGGCAGGATTTTACAGTGTTTACATGCAAGTGCATTTTATAAGTGTTCTATATGTGTAAAATAGTATTTTCAACTGGAAATTGTTGGCCAGTGCAGAAGGCCTGGCCTTTTTCTAGTTCCCATGATGTTGCCTACACTGCTAGACTACAGTATTGCTTTGTATCATGAGGCCAAGAAACTCCATGTTGTTTGTAAATAGAATAATTGAAAAAGCAATAAACATTTATTGAACAAAAGAAACTTTGTTTGGCCCAGAGTTTATGTTGAACCAAATTGCTCATAGAAATTTAAATTTCTTTAGATTCATTTCTGTTAATCATCAGTTATTAATAATCACATCCATCATTAATAGTTGCTTTAATGCTTGCATCTGAGAGAATACTAATGCTTAATAGCAGTCAGATACTGATAACTGCACTGACTGTTCAAAATTCTGTATATCAAACCTATTCATCATTGTTTTCCAATTTCTTTCATTGACTGCTACTAACTATTAGTTGTTAGTTGTATTTTATTTCTATTTTTTCTGTTAACCAATTTTTTTTCTTTTGTGGGAGTGGGCTCCTCTTCATTTGTTCAAATCATGATATGAATTGTCATGATTTTTATTGTATTCTGTAGATGGTGTCAATCAGTTTGTCAGAATTAAACATGCTTTTTTTTTTTTATTAGTTGTGATTAGTTTTTCATGTTGTCATTAAGCCGTCACTAGCTGAAACTAATCTCTTCTCTATCTTTTCTTTTCTTTTTTTTGTTTTGTTTTTTGTTTCTAACCACCCAGCCGCCACCGGCAACTAACCTATGACCTTCTGACCTCTGAACTCTTCACCCAATGATGACCTGACCATGCCTGCCTGCTGATCAGTTAACTGGTAATCGCCTTTGCTTGCCTGTCGTCAGTGCAGCGAGCTGAGGCACTTGTCCGTTCGTCTTACCATCTAACCAAACAAAAGACAAAGAAATTGTTGTCCTCCAACTCAGCTTTTTCCCCCCGTTTGGGTGAAAGTGGTTCTAGAACCTGCACTGAATAGTAGTAAAGCAATAAGGCCCAATTCATCCCACAGCACTGATCATCTTTCAATGTCCCACCCCAAGCGAACGGTAAGAAGGCCTCCTTAAGAAGGGAGACAGATGGCCCTTAACTACTCAGTGACAGAGGCAGTTACTGTGAGAGACTTCTAGGAACCTTTTCTTCTCATAGCGAAGTCAAGCTCTCTCTGAATGTACTGTGTGATGATGCATCATGCATGAACCTTTGGTCAGGGAAGTCATTGGTGAAGTGATTCAAAAGTATTCAAAATTTGATATACTGTTCAGTCACTACAGTGCCCTCAAAGGGCAGAAGTTGCAGCCTTTTTTATATTGCCTGCCAAATTTGAAGTATTAGAGGACTGTGCCATGAAAGAAAAACTTAACAAGAAGTTTTGAAAAGTAATGCAAAGAACAAAACTGCAACACTATTTTTTAAAAGATGGATATCTGAGTTAAAATTACAGAACCTTTATTTTACACCTCCTTAAAAATTTTTTTGAGAACAAGGTACATGCATTATGTGTCACATTACTGGGCAAACTGTTCAAGTATTTTTTTTAAACCTCCCTGTATAGAAAAAAATCATTAAGGATGTAAAAGCCATGCTTGCCTATTTGCTGTATACATGTAATGAAATTGTAGATAAAGTGTAGTGCATTGAAACAAATGAACAAAAAGTAGATACTTTTACTATACAAGGGTGCTGGTGCAGAAAAAATATATATATTTTTGGAAATGTAGCATTTTATACTTTCAAGTGTTATAAAAAAAGAAAAAGAACAAAGAAACCCTTTATTTCATTAAATGATTTTTTCTGGTGGTTGTCAAGAAACAAAAGACCAAAAGAGCCTTTTTGTCTTTCTTTTTTATTTTTTAAGTATTGGAATAAGTCTAAAGAAAAGAAAGTGCCTTATTTTCCTTCATGGTCATTTAGTCAAGTGTCTTGTAAGATCAGCTCCTCCCTCAAAATAAAAGTAAATGCATGTTACTCAGTCGCCCAGTATGTGAAAGAAGATGAGAGGGGGACAAATGAGTTGAGGGTTTGAATTGTATGATTTGTGCCACGTTACCTTGATGCAAATTTGCCAAATCTGATACTGTGAAAAAAAATTGAATAACTTTTCTAATATCTGACCTAGTAAGTTTTTTTAAAAACATATCATAATTGAGTATTTTTGGTTGTTACAAACTTCAATGTTAACCTAAAGAATTCTGAAAAATTATGTGAGATCTGAACACCAGTTTACAGGCAAAATTAAGCTTATTGTATTTGGAGATGAGAGATGCATTGGATTTTTTTCGTAATGGAGATAATAGTCTACTTAGCAAACTTTTTCACAAAAATGAATTTTTTTTGTGACTTTCATTCTGGAAAAAATAGTGTTTTTAAATGACCCAAATTTAATGAGACTTGTTTATAGCATACAGATAGCTGGCATAGTCAAAGTCCATCTTCTGCTGGCTTTAGCAATCTCCCTCCTTCTTCCCACATATGCCCTTTTTGCCACCTTTTTTAACTTCAAAAGAATGTGAAAAAGTAGCATCATTGTGCATATGAATACTGAACTATATTTCAGTTTAAGCTTCCAATTTCTCACGAAGTGCAGTTTTATAGTTGAAACAATTTGCATTTAAAGGCTACATGTAAACACTTGAGGAAATCATTAACTGCTCAGTACCAGACGTGGCAAATCTCAAGTGACAGTGGACTCCCAGCTCATCAGCTCGTTCCCTCTTCCATACCTTCACAGCTTCATAGTCAAGGTCAGCAGGAAACTCAGTTGGCACCTTCATGGTGACCTCTCCATCAGCTGTCTGTCTCACTTGGAACCGTTTTCAGTTTATTTACTATGCAATAGACAGTTGTTGTTTTATATTCAGCTAGTTTTGGTTTAATGTGCCACTGCTCTTTCTGTTACACATGCCATTGTTTTGATTTATTTACAATATATGCCTTGCCATTTTGATTTTAATTTTGTTTGGTTGGTTGAATAAATTGCGACACTCAAACACTTGAGGTGATAGTTAAAATGATACCAGTATTTGATCCAGCTTCATCTCAACAATGTTAAACCTGGACATTTTAGATGTTTATCAAAGGTCTTTTATGGGGAAGAAAGTAAACGTATGAAATAATAAAAGTGTGACATGAGTAATGTTGGCTCTGAACAAACTTTTAAAAACTTAGTTGACAAAATTTTGGATCAACTTAAAAGAAGCATGACTTTTGAAATCTGAATGCCTTGGTTCTCAGTATTATCATTCTTTTTGAATTTATTTCTTATTAAAGTATGTAGTTTTTAAGACTTTTTTCTGACAGTATTATGTAATTTTTAGTGTGGGTAGATGGGAGTGTCGCTGGTATGTTAATGTACAGCTGACATGTATTTTTGTCTTCTTTATTATCTTAGTAGTTTTCATGCTCTATATGTACCATAACCAACCTATTGCCTATGAGAAACATGTAAGATAATGTATTTACAGCCATTGTTACAAGTTTATAATGTATTTTTCTATCTTGTTTTATATGTATGTTATATAACATTCAAAAAGAATTTTTTTCTTGATTGAGAAAAGGATACAAAATGCAGAATCCACAATTTTGATAACTGAAAATTGCCAATTGTTTTGCAGTACTTTATTATATTGGGTGTCTTGTCTTTCTTGGGCTTTTAGTTAGCTGATGAATGAATACATTAATTAGACACTTTTGGGTTTTAGTTGGGATTTTACATAGCTTGCATTTTAATTCTTTGGTTCTTTGCTGTTTCTATTAACCCATAGCATTATTTTAATAAATGTTATAATACCAACCTACTAACTCTGGACTATGTCTGTTTATTAACCTTTACATGTTTAATTAAAATAAACAAATAAAGACAAAAGAATGTAAAGTCTTGAGTTCCTGGACTAACCCTGAAGACCATGACCACAGATAACATAGCGTGACTTGTTTTGTGTTGTTTGTCAGCTGACAGTTTCGCACACTACTGTTCAAATGGCTTTGGTTATTCTGGCCTTCTACTTCGGGTGTAGGTGCCAGTGGGGATGAGAACAAAGTAGCATTCGTTCGAGGCATTCTTCTCCTGGTCATGCCACTTGCCTTTCAGCATCTGCATTACTAATTCCACACTTCTTATTTTTCCCTTCTCCAAAATAATCACTGTCTGCTCACAGCATACAGAGTAGAGATTCAATGTGATGACATGCCCTGAGAAAACAGTTTTATTCATTGAACATTCATTTTAATTTCTATGAGTAGGTGATTTTATGGTCACATCATAAAGCAGAGAATTTTTGTATTAAGATGTTTATTTTATATGGTATTTTTCCTTTGTAAAGCATTGAATTTGTTTAGCCAGCTGTTTCTTTTAGAGGAATTGACGTAGGTAAGGCTAGAGGCAAATTGGGTCTGTTTTTCCTAATAGTGCAGAGTAAGAGATGAGTAACCAGGATGATGCAGCCCCTCCTCTTCCTCACCCAGCCTTCAGTGAATGAATGATGGAGATTTTCTCAGGTGTTTTTTCTGACCCACTTCCAAAACACAGCCAAGATTGATGCAAGAAATTTAAGAGGGAAGAACACTGAGATTTGTAATGTTAGGTGTGATTAATTTCTTGCATGCAAATCAATCTGAGAAGATTTCTTAAATATCCTGCTTTTCGTGGCCTGTGTAAGTGGACCTCTAAATCTTGACTTCTTGAGGTGTGTTTATGTCACAGATTGGTAATAGCCTTTTCTGTGAAACAATTCTCCTGCGTAAGAAAAAAAAAATTCTCAGGATGAATTTTGCATTTGTAAATAGTGGTTTATTTTTGTAAATTATATTTTATTTATTTAAGAGTTCTAAAATTTAGGGCTGAAATGAGTTACATGTAATAGTCATAATTATATCAATGTGCTTCTAACCAGATTATCAAGATATTTCTTGTTTCATATATGTATATGCATATATGAAATTATCAGAATAATTTCATATATGCATATACATATAATTTAATAATTTAATCACCAATGAAAAGGTCATTTGGGTTATGTCATTTCTCTGATGGAAAGAGTAGGCAGTGTATCATTGTTAGGTAGGCAGATCTTTAATATGCTACTTACCTGTTGAAGTTCACATTGCCATAACAAGTTTTCATGTATCATTCTGTGAAAATTTGAAGATGCCTGTCAAGCTGCTAATACACCAGTTGTGGTACCATGTCACTTAAAGTGATGAAGAATTTCTATGCAACTTGCTATTCTCTGAAGCCTATGAATGCAGTCTCATCTCATTTTCAGTTAAGGGTACTTTATGTATAATTATGTCATATTGTCACCTTTTATGTTGAAAATGTTGTAAAAGACAGTTTTAAAGGGTGAAAATAATACTGCAAATCCCATTTTTATACAGGTCGCAATAATATTAAACATGAAACTATCAAGTTGCTGGAGTGGTAAAATTCTGGAGTTTATTGCTTGATATTGTTATTTGATAAAATGATTGATAGTTGAGTTTTCAGTCAAAAAAGTTGGTGAAATTAACATACTTAAACATTCTTTAGGTACATTTCCTTTAGGTACAAAACGTCAGGAAGAACATATGAAAGTACATGTTTGCATACAAACCTAGTCAATAGTTTTTGTGTTAGGATACATGTGAGCAGTTACTGAAGCATGTTGTCCATAAAACAGAAGATTTACGCATGATATACAAGAATAATATTTGATAAAGTTTTTCAGAGTAACTAGATCAGTGTAAGGTGTCATTTTCTAGTGCAACAAAAGCAGATGATCGATTAAACCAATGGCTGTTTGTTGCCAATTTCTGCCAGTGAAGTCTAACACTTTGGTATCCTACATGTGACAGTTGGAGGGGGGCATTCCTTGCTTGTTTGGCAGGGGATGCCTGTCTTCATTAACTTTATGGACTCCTATTTTAGAAATATTCATGGCACACAATTTTTTCTATGGTGTCTTCACTATGAAATTATGCAAACTGTAGTGTTTGAAGAGACTTAAAATTATATATACAACTAGTACTCAATGGTGACTCTAACACAGTGCCTCCTCCTGTGTTGTTCCTGCACTTACTGCTGTGGGTGGAGAGGGGGAGGAAGAATGACTTTGGTAAGTAGAAGGTGGTGGTGGGTGGAGCAGAGAGCAACACTTGTTGATTTGACATCACTTGAAATTTTGCTGTCCTTTCTTAGGAAAAGATATTACATTGTGGAATGATCTCGGTTCCCAGTGTATAAAAATCAGTTAACATCTCTTTTAAGGTGTTACTATTGAGAAGCTTTGGTCCTCAGATTTATCTTGTGGTTTATATTATAATGGTATGTATAAAACATTTAAAACTTTTGGAAATTATAGTTTCTATATATTATATACAGACATTGGAATGGGTGTTCCCAAAGCACATGTGACTCAAACAACAAAACAGTACATGAAGTGCAGTAAGCCACCTGGAAAGACTGCATGTGCTTTATCTTAAGCCACTACAGCTGAAAATGCTGCCCCCACACACATGTAAATACCAGAATAAAGAATGCAAATTTAATGCTTTTAACACTACTTAAAAGAAGCTTACATTCTTTAATTTTAATATGTAACTATAAGATGATCATATAACTTGCTCTAATTTTAGTAATAAGAAAAGGAAATAAGTAAGTAGAGTATTACAGTATTCCTCTGTTGGACTGCATATCCAAAATAGTTTGCATTTCTAAGAAATGCAAAGAAACCCTGGTGCAATTTTTATGTAATTTTTAAATGTAAGAAAGCAGTCCTTAACCAATTTTTTATCTCACCCACTATGTGTAAAAAGTCTGTTATAAATAACACTGTTATAAAGTAAAAGATTGGTGAAATATTGTTTCCAATACTTCCTAAGATCTCTTCTTGATAACCAGTTTTGTAACTCCTTGCACTTTCCAGTCTATCTTGTTTATATAGTTTCCAAGTTCTTTCATTTCCTTTCCCCCCATTCTGTGGACTCTCAAGATTCTCCTTGACAGTGTCCTTTTCACCTGCCTCTCAAAGTAGCTAACAGGTCGGCATCCATAGGACCAGGTAGACTACTAGCCCAGAGACATGTCTTGGTTTGGCCTATACATGTGTGGGTTTTGGTTAGAGTTTTTTGTTATTTATTTATTTATTGCCTCCCCCCCCCCCAATTACTTGCCAACATTAAAAATCTAAAGGGTAAACTTAATCTTCATGAAGTCTGCTCAGTTCAAAGATCAGAGTATCTAGAAAGCTCAAGCACATGTTTTCAGAGGAGCCATCAGCTAAAACTGAAAGCTATCCCTATTACTGCTTCCCCATCCTGTCTTGCTTTTGGTCTCTCCTCTCCTGGCTCCTGTATTGCTTGTCTGTCCTAATCAGAGTGATGATGTGACTCTTCAGACACCAAATTGCCTCCTCAAAGGGGATCATGTAGAATAGATTTTAATGATTTTCCTCCTGAAAAATGAGATGAATATGGTTTCTGAATTAATCAAACATCAGTCACTGTGATTCATATGTGCTGTGTTTTGGTGGAGTGAGATACCTATTGAAGTGAAGGCAGTAGATATTTAAATGTTCTTCCTATTGTGATTTTGTTTAATTATTATCTGCTGCTGTTTTCATAGCAACTCTTGGTGATGTTAGAAAGTAGTACTAATTGAACTTAAGAATTCCATGTCTAACAGAAAACGTTAGTGATTCATAAAGCCTGGAGTCAAGTTTTTCAGGAAATGTGTATTAAAGTTAGATTATGCTAATTAAGTACTGTTTTGTGAAATACGTGCACCTTCATAAAAGTATCACCTGTTTGTGCTGCAGTTCCAGTTTTTCAGAACATCTCTTTGAATTAAAATGTACTGTTATCCCTGTTTTCTTAAATTTATGTTCTATATATATTGGCTGCTTAACTGGATTTTAGTGAAAGTTATGGGGAAAATGAATATGAATAAAAGAAAACAATTGGCAAATAAGTATTTTCTTGCAGGAAATTTGAATTATTAAAATGTCAGTATTAAAAATTTTAAGATCACTTATCTAACTTAGAACTTGTGTCAAGGTTGGGAATAAGTCAAAATGCCTTGGCTGTCCTGGAAACCTAAGTTTTAAAAGCTGCTCTTACCTGGTATTTTAATTGATGTATTCTACAAAATTAGACCAGCAGTACAAAAGGAGAGTTGACTTAACCAGTCTACATTGATAAATGAAAATTTTGTTCATTGTTTTCTCACTGATGTAAAAGGACGTTTAAAAATTGTTCAAAAGTTTAAACTACTAGGTTTCCAGATGGTAGGAGAGTGGAACACTTGAAGTGGGTGAGTAGAGTGCAGTGGGAGAATATCTGAAACAGGGTTTAAATTGGCCACAGGGAAGAAGCAGAATTTGACACAATCTTCAAGTGGTCTGTCCTCTAATAAGATTTTGTTCAGTACCTCCCGTTTCTCTTTGGGTTTATAATGAAAGCAACAGGCATGGAGAGAAACAAAGGGGAAAATGTAGTAGATGTTTTATCATGTGTCTTCCTAAAGGGCATTGCCTTTTCCTTGAATTGTGGGCAAATCTTTGTGACAGAGATTTGTCACAAATGACAGGCACTACTCCACTGATAAGGGTGTATGCTTTTAAGCAAGTAAATGCCAAGTGGCTTGTAAATGCCCCGATTCCAACCTGCTCCTTGTATTCTGCTAAAGATCTCTTCACCTCCGTCCCTAGAGTTTAGTCAAGGAGTTCTGAAGTCCAAAAGCAGACGGAGCTGTTGTAAAAGGAAGAAGTACTTGCCAGGAGGATAACTGGTTTTAACTGCTGAAACACATCTGCTCTGTTCTTGCCTATCAAATTCCACATTTGCGTGGCCAGAGTGTGTGTTGAGGGAGGTGTTGGGGAACTCCTTACATCCTAATGCAAAGAAGAATACTACTTCTCTTCAAGTCTGCATTGAACAGAACTGATTGGAAGAATAATAGAAAAAGCCCCACAGATTTCATAGGAAGAACATTTGTCATCCTGCTAGAAGCAGAAGTGGTACTGTAATGCATGCTATGTATCTGCACCCTTCTGGCAGGTTGCTTGCTGTTTGGAAATCTGGATCCAAGTGAGTCTTCTGTTGAGGGTCTCCAACAGGCTGTGAGGAATGCCTTCAAATTTGCATGCGTAGTAGACAAGCCACTCCTCTTAGGTTGGAACCTATTTTCCCCATGAAATTTCCTAAAAGAGTTGAAACTAGGTTTGAAATAGAATTAAAACTGTACTGGAAAGGCAGAGTAAAACTCATTAGACTGTGTGTTGGAAAATGATTGTTTTAGCACTATATTGTACCCTAGTGGCTTGAAAAGTCAGACATTAGAAAAAAGGACAGTAGGAAGGATCCCCGGAGAAACCACACATGCCTCACACTCCAGCTACTTACTGATGGAAATTAGCACTCTGTCAACTTGGAGTGTTAGCTGGATATGTGGTGTTAAATGCTACAATTAGTATGAGATCAGTAATATAATTAATTTTAAAAAATGGCCGTTTCACTCACTGTGCATCAAAATACACTAAAACTGATCTCTTGTGAATAAAATTTATGTTACCAATTATGGCAAAGCCATGTAATAGTATAGATTAATCTTCATTCATCATCTGTGACCTCCCAAACACTCCTTTAAGCACCTGTTAGGGAGCTTTTGCTACTGTTGCTGGTGTACCCTGACCATGTCATCTAGGTAGACAGGGAGGAGGATGTTTAATTAAAGACACCTTTTATTTCACAATTTTAGCCTCAGTTTTGAAAAATTTTACAAATGTTTTACTGCCACCCATTTTCAAGGTATTCTCTTCAACAACTCTGAAATTGAACGGTTAAATGCTTGAGAGAGGCCACACACCAATAGAGACAAGGGTGCGTGTGTGTGCTGTACATTTACTCCTTTTGGGGGGGATGGGGGTGATATAGCTTCCTTTCTACCATTGCACCATGGACTTACTTTGTCAAAAGCATCACAGTGTCCAAAAGCGTGGTGTGTTGTGAAGTACAACCTGCTCCTTTGTCTACGTGCTTTGCCATAGGGTTGTAATGACTGGCCATTGTCCACATTCAGACATCAGTTCTGCATTTACACTATGCTAGCTTGAGATGGAATTCGTGTGTGAGTGGAGATAAGTTGACATTTCCAGCAGTGCTTCTTGCCATGTCAGTTGTCTGGTTCCTTTCATCACAGGAAACATGATATAGTGGTTGGGGGGTAATGTGATTATGATGACATGTTTTTTTGGTTAAGCTAGTGTTTGTAAAATTATTATATATGTGGTCCCTACTTTTTGAAAATGAGTAAATTGATCTGCACCAAGTTACTTAATATAGAATCTGAGAGGATAATGATTAAGGAAATAAGTAGATTTTTTTAAAAAGTGATTTTTGAGACTGAACCATCAGTTATATTATTTGAGTAGGTCAGA